CCTAGTGTAAGAAAAATCAGAATAGGTGGAGAAAGAGAAATAATGAATATTAATTCCTGCAGTACATAACCCCTGGCTTACACCACTAATCCTTAAATCTCTAAGAGATTGCAACTTGCAATTAGAGACACAGTAATGGATTACAATCAATGCAGGGTCCAAACCAATCTGAGCAGAGAACGTAGATTTCATTAAAAATCTCTTGTATGTCATTTTTGCACACTCTTTTGATTCTAGCTGTATTAGTTTCCCATGGCTGTGCAATGAATTACCACAAATTTAGTGACTTAAAATAACACAAATTTTTCTTACAGTTCAGAAGTCTGAAAAAGATCTTAATAGAGTTACATCAAAGCCTGCATTCCTGGGGAGAACCCATTCTTCTATTCCAGTTCCTAGAAGCTGCTCACATTGCTTGGCTACTGGCCACATCGTCAAAACCTTTGCTTCCATAACCACATCTCTTTTTTTGATTAACATTCCTGATTCTCTCTCTCTCTCTCTTTTTTTGGGGGATGAAGGGAGAAGGAACTGGGGATCAAACCCAGGGCCTCATGAATACTAGACAAGCACTCTACACTGAGCTATATCCCCAGTCCCCTAATTCTCTCTGTTATAAAGACTCATGATTATATTGGGTCTACTCAGATAATCCAGGACCAAAAGCACAGGCAAAAAGAAAATAGGTAAACTGAATTTAAGCAAAATTAAAATTTTTTGTGCAAAGGATACTATTAACAGAGGAAGGGGAAAATATTTTGGAGTCATATCTGGTAAGGGACTGATATTCAAAACATATAAAGAACACTTGTAACACAACAACAACAACAGTCCAACTCAAAAATGAGCAAAGGCAAAAAAAAAAAAAATACATTGGAGACATTCTTCAACAAATGGTAGTGGGAAAACTGGATAACCACATATAGTACATTAAAGTAGATCACTATCTTTCACCCTGTACAAAAACAACTAAAAACATATCATAGACTTTAACATAAGACCTAAAACTTGGAAATTATTAGAGGAAAAAGAGGCAACAATTTCCTAAAAGCTCAGGAAATAGAAGAATTGACAAGTGGGATTACATCAAATTAAAGCTTCTGCAGAGCAAAGGAAACAACAGAGTAAAGAGACAAGCTACAGAATAGAAGAAAATCTTTGTCAGGTATTGAAAGGACTAATATCTAGAATATATAAAGACCTCAAGAAAATGAACCAAAGTAGTAACCCAATCAACAGATGGGCAAATGAACTAAACAAACACTTCTCAAAAGAAGTATAAAGGGCCAATAAATATAAGAAAAAAATAATATATTTAGCCAGAGAAATACAAATCAAAACTTCATTGAGATTCCATGTCACCCCAGTCAGAATGTCTATTCAAAACACAAAACAGCCAACATGGTAGCACATGCTTATAAACCCAGCTACTTGGGAGCCTGAGGCAGCAAGATTGCAATTTCAAGACCAGCCTGGGAAACTTAGCAAGACTCTGTCTCAAAATAAAAATAAAAAAGGCTGCGAGTAGATGTAGCTCAATACAGAGCACTTGGCTAATATACAGGAGGCTCTGGATATTCAATCCCTAATACCACCCCCTACAAACACACACACATATGAAAAAAATAAATAAGAAAGACAGAAAGAATGAATGAAAAGAAATGAATGCTGGCAAGGATGCAGAGTAAAAGGAATCCTTATATGCTCACTGTAGGTGGACACGTAAATAAGTACAGCCACTATGAAAAACGGTATAGAGGTTCCTCAAAAAACTAAAAATAGATCTACCATAGGATTCAGTTATACCATTCCTGGGTACATAACCAAAGGAAATGAAGTCAGCACACACAAGACAACACCTGAAACCCATGTTTATTGCAGCACTATTCACAATAGCCAAGATATGGAATCAATCAGATAAAAATTATATGATATATACAGTGAAGTATTATTCAGCCATAACAAGAATGAAATCATGTCATCTACAGGAAATGGATGGAACTGGATAGTACCATGTTAAGTGAAAATAGCCAGATGCAGAAAAATAAGTATCATGTTTTCTCTCGTATAAGAAAACTTAAAAAAAAAAAAAAGATGACCTGAAGATAAAAATGAACTATTAGAGAAGGGAAAGGGGATCAGGAAAAGAGGAGGGCAAGAAGTTAGTGGGGAAAATGCAATCAAAGTACAAAGTTTGCATGTATGGAAACGTCACAATGAAAACAACTAACATGACTGAATAACTATAAAAATAATTTTAAAAAGAAACAGACTAAAAAACAGCTTTGCCTCTACAAAGAGAAAATGAACCTTTTTGCAAACATTGGCTGGCTATGGGTCAGCAGACAAGCATCAAGTCCCTAGGCAAGAATTTTCCAAACTTTCAAAAAATTCATGCATGATAATAATAATAATAAAAATTAACACCAGGCATGGTAGTGCACACCTGAAATCCCAGAGATTTCGGAGGCTGAGGCAAAAGGATCCCAACTTTAAGGCCAGCCTAGGCAATCTGGCAAGACCCGGTCTCAAAATTTTTAAAATTTTAACAAAGGGATGGTGATAAAACTCAGTGGTAAAGCACGCCTGATTATAAAAGAAAGAGAATGGGAGAGATAAAGAAAGATTAAATATCCCCCATCCCGCCCACCCCCCAAAAATGGACAAAGGACTTGAATAGACATTTTCCAAGAAGGTACACAGCACATTTAAAAGATGTTCAACATCACTAACCATTAGTAATGGAAATCAAAGACAAAGTAAGACATTACTAGCTTGTATTTACTGGAATGGCTATTATCAAAAAACAAAAAAATAAGTTTTGGTAAAGATGTGGAGAATGTAAGATGGTGAAGCCCCTGTGAAAAACACTATGGCAGTTCATTTAAAAATCTGAAATAGGGGGCTGGGATTGTGGCTCAGCGGTAGAGCGCTCGCCTCGCACAGGCGGGACCCAGGTTCGATCCTCAGCACCACATAAAAATAAAGGCATTGTGTTGTGCCATCTACACCTAAAAAATTAAATAAATACTTTTTTTAAAAATCTGAAATAGAATGATCCAGCACTTTCACTTCTGGGTATATACTCAAAAGAAGTAAAACTGAGGACGCAAATATTTTTACATTGATGTTTGTGACAGTATTGTTCACAATAGTCAAAAGGTAGAAGCAAGCAAAATGTCATCAACAGTTGAACAGGTAAACAAAATGTGTATATGGAGTCACTGGAATACTGTCAGCCTTAAAAAGGAAGGAAATTTTGATACAGGGTACATACAATATGGATAAACCTTAAAGATGCTATGTTAAGTGAAACAAGTACTCATAAAAAGTCAAATACTATAAGAGTCCATTTATATGCAGTTTCTGGAGTGGTCAAAGTCAAAGATGAAAAGTAGCATGGTGGTTGCCAGAGGCTGGGGGATGGGAGACAGAAATTAGTGTTTGTGTGTACAGACTTTTGTTTGCAAAAATTTGAATACTACAAATAGGCAGTGATGTTTGTACAATGTGAACATGCCTAAAAATGGTTAAAAAGGTAAAATTTATGTTATGTATATTTTGCCATAAAAATATGGCAGAATAAAAATTTAAAAATAATAATAAAAAACATGAACATGTTCATAGTAGTATTCATTATAGCCAAATGCAAAAGGGAAAACAACTCAAATGCCCATTGTCTGATAAATGGGTAAATAAAACATGGTATATTCATAAGATGGATTATTATTTAGTAATAAAAAAGAGTAAAGAATTGATAAATCCTATAACATGGATAAACCTTAAAAACATTAGGCTAAGTGAAAAAAAGTCAGTCACCAAGCACCAAACACTATATGACTTCATTTATATGAATTGTCTAGAATGAGCAAATCTATAAGGAGAGAAAGTAGATTAGTGGTTGCATATGACTGGTACATACAACTAACAAGCAAAGGGTTTCCTTTGGGGATAATAAAAATGTTCTAAAACTGGGTGATGATTAAATAACTCTATAAATACACTAAAAGCCAATGAAATGTATACTTTAAATGAATGAATTATATCCTATGTAATTTATATCTTAATAAATCTTTTTTAAGCCAGTAAGACTAATGACTAAATGAAGTCATAAAATGAAGCACAGGGATGAATAAAAGTATAAGAGAACAGAAACATTACAATTTGAACTCTTGCTCTGCCACTTATTATCTGTGTGACATTGAGCAATTATTTAACCTTTCTGTACTACTTCTATAATACCTACCTACAAGGCTGCTATAGGAATAAAACAAAATAGTATATAAAATACTTGTATAGCGCCTGCTACAGTTATCCTCCACTGCATTATCTTTCTATCTAAGGCTAAAAATCGCACCACCAATTTTACAGAAATAAAAATTCAGACAGTTGTATTTGGATACTGTTTGATTTTATTAAATTATGCTTCCATTTTTAAAAAATATTTATCTTTTAGTTGTAGTTGAACACAAGAATTTGTGTTACATCTGTTCCAGGTAGTAAATAATCTAAAGTTACCAATTATATGGTACTAGAAAAGCAAGTTTCAATTATGAATTTACTACAAGTTGATACCTAAGGCGAAGGGAAAGATAACTTTTAGATGATTCTTTTCACAAATTTTTTTCAACTCCCTTTTCTCCTCCCTTCCTTCATTTTTCAAAAATATTTATTTTTCAGTTGTAGTTGGCCACAATGCCTTCATTTTATTTATTTATTTTTATGAGGTGCTGAGGATCAAACCCAGGACCGCACATGTGCAAGGCGAGCACTCCACTATTGAGCCACAACCCCAGCCCCCTTCCTTCATTTTTAAATTATTCTTTCCTCACTTACCTGTCTTTTTACTTTATCCTTTACTCCTAACTACTTATTCTTATTTTTTTCCCCCATTTCATGTTAAGACAGAAAAGAACATGATTATTCAAGCTATAGGACAGTTCAAATTCTGCCCAGGTAACTCATCAATGATCCCAAAATAGAAAGATGAACATACTAACAGTGGCACACATCTGTAATCCCAAGCTTGGCAGGAGGATCACAAGTTCCAGCCCAGCCTCAGCAATTTAGCAAATCCCTGTGGCAAAATAAAAAATAAAAAGGGCTGGTGGTAAAGTACTCCTGGGCTAAATCTCCAGTACCTAAAAAAAAAAAAAAAAAAAAAAGATGAGAATGCAAATGAATGTTAATGGCTCTCTTGTTTATCAGAGACAAAGTCATAGAACATCTATAGGCTGGCAATGGAATCTTTCAGTATACTATCCACCGCCAAGTTTTACTACTGAAAAAAAAGAATGAAAGGAAGGAAGGAGTAAGGGGCTTTAAGAATGTTAGTAACATTTTTTAAAAATATTTATTTTTTAGTTGTAGTTGAACACAAGAATTTACAGGAGCTGGGGTTGTGGCTCAGTGGTAGAGCACTTGCCTAGCATGTGTGAAGCATGGGGTTCAATTCTCATCACCACATATAAATAAATGAACAAAATAAAGGTCCATCGACGTCTTAAAAATATATATATTAAAAAAAAGAATTTATGGGCTGGGGTTGTGGCTCAGTGGTAGAGCGCTCGCCTAGCATGCATGCATGAGGCACTCGGTTCGATCCTCAGCACTACATAAAAACAAAATAATGTTCCACCTAAAACTAAAGATACGGGCTGGGGATGTGGCTCAAGAGGTAGCGAGCTCGCCTGGCATGCTTGCGGCCCAGGTTCGATCCTCAGCACCACATACAAACAAAGATGTTGTGTCCGCCGAAAATTAAAAAATAAATAAAAAAAATAAATAAATAAAATAAAACTAAAGATACATAAATATTTTTCTTTAAAAATTTACAATTTACTCTGAAACTATTTTAAAGGACAATGCATTTCTAAGAGACATCTGCATTATAAATGATTCTAAAACAAAATTATGTGTTGTGATTACGAAGCGTAAACAGATGCACTACCATTGTACTGCTAGAATTTTGTACACTTTCAGATCAGAAAATTCCAATTAATAATATTTCCAAGTAAATCAATAAATATTATCTCAATAGAAGCTTTTTATTTATTTTTACTTACTGGAACATTCTACAAAGAATTCTGTAGCCCTGTCCTCCTTATCCACAGGGTGGTTTGTTCCAAGACTCCCAGTGGATGCCAGAAACATGAAGAATAGCAAACCCTACATCTTTTCTTATACATACATAAAGTTTAACTTATAAATAAGGCACAGTAAGAGATTAACAATAGTGATAAACCAATTACAACATTATACTGAAAAGTTACAAAAATGTGGTCTTTTTCAAAATATCTTTTTTTAAAACTTTTGTTTATTTTTATGTGGTTGCTGAGGATTGAACCCAGCGCCTCACACGTGCAAGGCAAGCACTTTACCACTGAGCCATAACCCCAGCCCCAAAATATCTTATTGTCCTGTACTTACTTTTCTTATGATGTCAGATGACATCATCCTACACAAAGAGATAAAGTAAAATCAATGACATAGGTATTCTGATATAGCATTGGGCTACTACTGACCTGACATACATCAGAAGGAAGACCATGAAGCCAGGGTAATGTCTGTTGATCACAGGCAACTTGATATGTGGGAAAGGCAAAGCCATGGATAGTAAAAACATGGATGGGGGTAGGAAGGTACTACTGTGTCTCTCTTTTTTAAAGAGTGGCTACAACAAACCCAAAAATCTTTTCTTCCTCTGCAAACTCTTTAACCTTGAAGCCTAACTATATTGTCTCACTGTGTTGCACTACAAAAATGTTTATTGGACACACAGTGCACAGAGTATGTATGCTAAGTACTTTTACTAGAATATTATTAATCTCCACAGCAACATATAAAATAACTATTCATATTCCACTTTATAAGTGAAAACTGTACTATTTAACATTCTCACCATACTATACTTTTTTATAGACAGAACAACACCCAAGGCACCCTGTAACCTCAAACTACTTCATGAAAGATTAACATTTCAGAACCTTTACAGGCATATCACAAGGAATAGCCAAGTCAAGTGTCTCTCTTTCTTGAAACAATATGCTTGCTTTTATTAAGCCTACATTAAATTGATTTTCTTACCTTTCCACTTACTCCTGGTTTCAATTTTTGATTACTCTTTTCCCTCCTCCTGAGTTATTTCCTCTTCTCAATACATATCCTCTGTCTCAAAAGCTTGCCCATGTTTAAGGCTTTCTCATATTACCTTTGACTGGTTGACTCTCAAATCTGTAATTCTGATTGTGTTCTCTCATCCAAGTCATCGTTCAACATTTCTACTTGTATGCTATCTTATCACCTCAAACTAAACAAGCATCAGTTGCAGCTCATCATTATTCTCATTTCCAAATTCTAGTTCTTCTAATTTTTATCAATCTGTAAATTACAAATTACTATTTTCTCACCCAGACTCCCTTTAAAGTCAACACATCAGTCAACACATCATTCCTTTGAAATGTCTCTCACCCATCCTTTTCTGTTCCATTGAAACTGTCACCACTGAAATCCAACCTTTAAGCAATTCACCTAACTTACCCTGAGAGCCCTTGATTGTAATTCTCTCTCTCCAATCTCTCTACTTCAGTGTGTTCTACATAAAATTCACTCATTCCTACACCATAATCACTGAATTACCAGTGCATGCTAAGCACTGGCTGGGTGCTGCCAGGAATCAACCGTGAGCAAGACAGACATCCTTTTCTACCAAAGGACATATTTAAGAAAATTAATTTTTTCAAATAAAATAATGATAGATTGTGATATATGCCATGAGAGAAACACCTTAATATTATAAAGGACAGAGAAAAGAAAGGCTACTTTAGTTAGGGCTATTAGTTAAAGACAGAATTTAAGCTGACATTTTAGGGTTGGAAGAGAAAACAATCATGAACATATTTAGAGTGTTCCAGGCAAAAGAAACTGCAAAGCACACGTATTCTAGGAGGAAAAAGCTTTTTATGTTATGGAAAATGACCTAGTTGAATGTGGCTAGAAAATATTAAGGGAGAAAGGTGGTATAATGTAAGAAGGATAAAACAAAGGCAGAGGCCAATTTTATTCTACATGTATTAAGAAGTCACTAGAGGGTTTTAAGCAAGAAAATTACAATTCAATATACACTGAGACAGAGACTATTGGTGCTCATTAATGCCTGTGCTCTTTTCTTTATTATAATACTATTATATTACTTTTCCCAGTCCTCCTGCAGTTAAGTAGGATCATGTGACTAGCTATGACCAGTACAATGTAGGTGAATGACATATGCCACTTCCAGCCTGGACCCTAAAGTCTTCCTTCATACACACTTACCCTCTGAAACAAATCTCAAAATTATATAATTATGGTGGTAAAATAAAGAGAAAGAGAAGCCTTAGTCCCTAGGCAACTGCAAGGAGCTAAGGTGTCCCCAAGACACACAATGGACTAAGATGTTTAAAAGTAATATCAAACTTACAATGTGTTAAGCCATTAAGCTCTGTTTCTTATTAGAGTTGTTAGCATTCCATATATCATATTTAATACATCTTAAAAACATTTCTCTAGCTGTTGTGTTCAGAAGGGGATAAGAGTGGGAAAGGAAAAAAATAAGGCTCAAGAATAAAAACAAACTTTAAAATGGGCAAAAGACTTAAACATTTCTCCACATATATACAAATGACCAATAAGTATATGAAATGATGGTTATCATCACGAGTTATTTGGAAAATATAAATCAAACCTACAAAGAAATATTACCTCACACTTATTTATTTATTTCGATGGTTACAGGGCTGGGGGGGGGGGGGACAGAACAACAAGAGCTGATAAGGATGTGGTAAAATCTGAACTTTTTTTTTTTTTTTAATGTACTGAGGATTGAACCCAGAGTTGCTTTGCCACTGAGCTAAATCCCCAGTGATTTTTTTGTTTTGTTTTGTTTTGTTTGTTTGTTTGTAGACAGGGTCTCACTGAGTTGCTCAGTATCTTGCTCAATTGCTGATATTGGCCTCCAATTTCCAATTCTCCTGCCACAGCCTCCCAAGTCGCTGGGATTATAGGCATGCACCATCATATCCAGTGAAATTAGAAATTTTGTGCACTGTTGATGGTAATGTAAATTGTACAGCAGCTGTGGAAAATGGTATCACAATTTCCTCAAATAATTTAAAAAAGAATTACTATATGATCTAGCAAATCTACTTCTGGTATATATCCGAAAGAACTAAAAGCAGGGACTTATTAGGAATAGATATTTAGATATTTGTACACCCACATTCATAGCAACATTATACATAAAAGCTCAAATGTGGAAGCAATCCAAGTGTCCATTGATGGATGAATGGATAAATAAAATGCCATCTATACATACAATGGAATTTTATTTTGAGATTTAAAGAGGGAAGAAACTTTGATACATGCTACAATGGATCAATCTAGAGGACATTAGCTGAGATAAGCCAGTCACAAAAAGACAAATACTATATGATTATGCTTATATGAGGTGCTTAGAGTAAGTAAAATCACAGAAAAATAAAGCAGAATAGTAAGTGGCTGCAAGGGCTAAAAGAGAGAAACAACTATTTAATGGGTACAAAGTTCCCCCATTTTGCAAGATGCAAAAGTTTTGGTGACTGATTACCCAACATGTGAATGTGATTAGCAGGGCTAAACTATACATTTAAAAAGGGTTAACATGGTAAATTTTGTGCTATATGTAGTTTACCACAATTTTCTAAAAAAATCAGTTAAGAGGCCAACAATCCAAATGATGATGGCAGCTTAAACTTGAATGGTATGTTGATGCAGATAGAGAAGAAATCAAGATGCATTTGGAGGCATAAAAAAAAAATTACTGCTGGACTGAAAAATCAAGGGCTACAGTAAGGAAAATAAAGGTATCACGTACAACATCTTGCTTTTAGCAAATGAGCGGATGGAAACACCATTTAATGAAATGGGAAAGAATAAGGAATGAACAAATATGTCCAGGTGGGGTTAAGGAGAAGACTCAAGTACAGTTTAAGAATGAGGAAATCAAATTTGTTTTGGCTATTTTAAGTTCAGGATGCCCAGGGAGATATCCAAATGGCAACATCAAGGAAACAACTCGATATATGTGACAAATTTTATTTTCTAAGGATGGTTTCCATCTTCACTG